CAGGCACGGGGGGCAGGGCAGCTTACAGTCGACATGGATGCATAGCTGGCGGCACAGATCTGTGAGCCACACCTCAAAATCGACAGCCCGACCCTCTGCGTCCAGGCGGAGAACTGTGTCCGCCATCATGCACAGCTGCAGCACCTAGAGAGCTCAGGCGGAGTAGGAGCAGGGGGCAGGCGGGTGTGGTGGAGTGCGGTGGAGAGTGGTGGGGTACGATGAGGTACTGTGGGGTGCGGTGGGGTGTAGTAGAGTGCGGTGGAGTGCGGTAGAGTGCGGTGAAGCAGCGAGAGAGGAGACAGCTGGCGAGAGCAACGGCACAGCGGAGAAACCAAGGCCGCTGGCGAGCTGGGGCCGATAGTGAGTAGGGGCCGGCGGCGAGCAGGGGCAGGCGCGGCGAGCTAGGGCGGCGCGGCGAGCCGAAGCCGACGTGGCTAACTAGGGCAGGGCAGCAAGCTAGGACTAGCGGCGAACTGGGGCCGGCGACGAGTTGGGGCCGGCGGCGGGATGTGGGCCGCACGGTGAGCTGGGGCCGGAAGCGAGCTGGGGGCCATACGACGAGCTGGTGCCAGCGGCGAGCTGGGGCCGACGGCGAGCAGGGGGCTGCGGCGAGCTGGGGGCTGTGCGGCAAGATGGGGCTGGCGGCGAGCTGGGGCCGACAGCAAGCAGGGGCCGCGGCGAGCTTGGGGCCGCGCGGCGAGCTAGGGCCGACGACGAGTTGGGGGCCGCGCAACAAGCTGGGGCCTACGGCGAGCTGGGGTTGGCGATGAGCTGGGGCTAGCGACGAGCTTGGGCCGGCGCAGCGGGCTTGAGCCAGCGCGGCGGGCTAGGAGCCAGCGTAGCGGGCTACGGGCCAGCGTGGCAGGCTAGAGGCCAGCGCAGCGGGCTAGGGGCCAGTGCAGAGGGCTAGGGGTCAGCGCAGCGCGAAGAGCTAGGGCCAGCGCAGTGCGAAGGGCTAGGGCAGGCACAGCAAACTAGGCGGAGCGCTCGACAGGAGGCTAGGCCAGGCGCTCTGCAAGAGGTTAGGGCGGAAGCGTGGATGGGTGGGACCTACCTAGCGTGATACCATGTTAGAATGACAAAGTGAATGCTAACAAGGACATACAGGGAGATACTGTATATGTGTTTGGGTTGTACTCTCTAAGGGCACGAACTTGTCTAGCCTATAACTAGACATGCAAAACAAATGTATAAGTTGACAATGCCTACTTTACTGGGCTCTACCACTGCAATCCTCTCGCATATAGCACACCATGGACTTCCATAAATTCAGGTAAAAATAATATGGTTTACAGGAGGCCCCTAGATGTCAGGCTTTTTACGCTGATTCAGCCTTTTTTTCAGGCTTTTTTTTAACCAAGGCTGAAGTGAAAGACTTTTTCTTATAGGTAATGCTGTCCATTTCATACCTTTCTTTATAAACTAGTCTGATGTTTTCAGCCTTTTTTCCATAGTGTAGGCTGAGGTTTCAGCGTACTCCCTGGGGGGGAGGCTGGAACCATGTATAGTGTGTTTGCAGGGCCCCCCACAATTACTGCTATGTGAAAATTTTACCCCTGTCAATCACGCTGAGTGACTGCACTGTTGGGCTGTTGGCGCGACATTTGACGCGGAATTTCCTCCACCATCACCAGCACACTAGCTATCTTTTGCACCTCCGCCAAAGGATTCCGAGCATGCCGCTTCCGACTCCGACGAGGAGGAGGACGATGTAGAGGTGCTGTCAGCTAGGCGGAAGAGGCTGACGCCAGGAGAAATCTATGCCGACGTGTTGGACCGCTTCCAATCCCACTGGTCTAAGGCCTATCCATGGCTGCTCATCACGAAAACTGACATCGGACTGCCCACTTTCAAGTGCTCTGTCTGCACCGAACATGCAGGTCTGAAGGGTAAAACTGGCAAGAGCGGGCAAGGAGCGACCTTCGTGCAGGTCCAAGCGTTCAAGAAGCACGCTGGCACAACTCGACATGAGCTCGCGGTGGCCAAGCAAGTCGACCTGCTGCAGATGGCGACCAACCAACAACGCATCGACCAACACCCACTTGTGCAGGACCTAGAGCTGCTTCACGTGTCTTCACTCCTCGACGTGCTCTACTTCTGCAGCCGCTGCAACGAGCCGATGGAGACATGGATTCGTCTCACGCGATATCTGTCAGAGCGGAAGTTCCTTGGTTTTTAAGAGCAAGGCTATGGAACATACTACAACTCGCAAGTCTTTGACAGAGCTTTAGCTTTTGTTTGCCGTCACGGCTTTTTTATGTCCTAATCTCTCTCTTTGTGTGATACTTTGGCACGTATGGCTTCGGCCAGTTCACACAAGCCCTCGCAACATGGCTCCAAACCACTCAGCTCGAACACCTCCTTGCCAGCCCCTTCATCGGCCTCAGTCTCGATGAGAGCACCAACCGCTGCCATGGCAAACACATGATTGTGTTTGCCACCTTCATTCGGCAGAACCGTCAAGTGATGGAAATCCTTGCGCTCCTAACAGTTGACAGGGTTGACGTTGCCTCACTGCTCTCGCTGTTGTTGTCCCACATCCAAGCTATTGGCATGGATCTACGCCCGATCTCCGGCATCAGTACTGACGGCGCTGCCGTCATGCTCAGGAAGACGCGTGGCCTTGTCGCTCGATTGAGGGTGCTTATCCCACACCTCGTAGCATGCCACTGCATCACCCATCGGTAAGTGTTGCTCCAAGTTTTCTGATTTTGTATACCAGCGAGAAGAGTTTTAACGCATCCGTTTTGTACTTGCAGGGAGGCGATGGCGACCAACACCACTACGGAAGAGATCAAGAGTTTTGGCATCATCGACGACTTCATCAAGGAGATTGCAGAGTTCCTCAATCGTTCTGGACCCTGGCATCAACGCTTCAAGGACCTGTAGCAAATGTTGAACGACACCAACCTGGAAATGCAGGTGATCCACGCCATCCGATGGCTCTCTCACAGGTAGGCGATCCTCCGTTTTTTTGCTGTGCTACCACCTGTGCTGGTCATGGTCACGGAGCTGAGGAACGGAAAGTTGCTAGCCATTGTTCGGAGCTATCATTTCTAGTTCTTTCTGCACTTTGTGGCTGATGTGCTTGAGCAGCTCAACATCCTCAACAAGTTCTTCCAACAGCGGGAGGTGCGTCTTTCTCAAGCACGTGCATATGCTTATTGTGTTGTCTTGTCTCTTATTCCCCCCCATCCCCCCTCGTCGTGAACACCTATCCTCACAGCTGGACTATGCGATCGTCGCCAGCCAGATCGCGCAGCCAACCGGGCTGCTGGAGAGCCGGTACGTCGACTGCGGCGACGACTTCGGGGGCACCAAGAAGTCGCGGCTTGGCATGTTCCTCATCCATCACCGCCCGGACGGTACTCCATAAGTCACCATTGACAGAGTCGCATCTGATGGCCGGCTCGTCCGCTTCAGTGTAAGTCTCCATTACGACGAGATCGACGGCTTCCCTGGGGATGGAACACACGATGCCTGTGTCGACGACTGGACGGCCTTGGCTGAGGGGCTGGTGAAGGGCTTGGATGAACATTTCGGGGACATGGAACAGCTCGCGGGATGTCGCCTCTTCTGTGCTGACACCTGGCCGTCGAACTGGGAGCGCTCCGCTAGGCACAAGCAGTGCCTGGAGTGGTTCGACATGCTGGTGCAGGTGTACAAAGCGGAGGACAGCGCAGAGATTCTGCCAAGTGCCGTCCACTGTCTGAGTTGCGCCGTGTTCCGTCTCTCCGTTTTTACGCATGTTGAGATTCCTTGAACTGTCTTATCTTTTATACCTCTTAATATCCCCTGCTGCTCGTCTTCACTGCCCCCTCCAGGCATTGACAAGAGGAAGGCGGCCAAGGAGATTCGCTACTTCGCCCCCATGCTCACACGGCTGAACACCGTCGACCGCAAGTTCTTTGCTCAAGACCAGCGACTGGAAGATCCATTACCCCAATGTTGTGGGGTTGTGGGTGGCAGTGGCGGTGCTGCCCCTGAGCACCGTCGAGTGCGAGCGTGGCATTTCCCGCCAGAACCTGATCAAGAGTTGGCAGCGCGGCAGCCTCAAGGATGCCCGGCTTAGCGATCTCATGATGATATCTATGCTAGACTATACGCCAGATTACCCCGCTGTAGTAGAGATCTGGAGGGCTTACAAGAAGAGAAGGCCCTATTCCACCTGTCGGCCCCGCCCCAACAGCAGGAAGGGCGAGTCTCTCAAGGTAACGAATTGACTAGAATAGGGCAAACAGGGTAGTTTTGTTATAGGTGTTGTACTCTCTATGGTATGCTCCTAGCTATCCTATAAACATATACAAATACATATGTTGACAAGGAGAAGCTGATGATGACTGTAGTGGCTCCATGGATGATGGGGAACTAGAGGCTGATGTAGATGCCGAATATGAAATGTAATGGGTATCATTAATGAAAGTGGCTTGGCGTTTCAGTGTATTTTTCTTAAAACCCGCGGCCCAAATTGTTCTAACACACTGTGTATGAACTCTGGGCGTGCTATTTTACGAAACGCACGGGAAAATTGCGAGGGTGTTTTTCCTCGTGAACTGCGAAGTGTTCATGCGCCATCAGATTCGACCCCAAAATTTTGGACAGTTGAGATTGAGCCCCGAATTACTGGTGGTGCTTTGGAGATGAGAGTCTGGGTGCGGACCGTCAGATGCTGATCTGTAAAAAATGGACGGTAAAAAGACGTGCTATACATGGAGTTCCAAATTGCAGCACACACTGAACTTGAAAGGCACCCCTAGAATGGCGAGACTTACATTACCCCACTCAACACCCACGAGAGCGCTACTTTCAAAAGCAGTGCGTTTGAAGGCCGTGCCTCGCAATTTGGGCCGCGGGTTTTAACCAAGGCTGAACCTTCAGCGAATTTCTTTTCGTCAAGGCTCACATTCAGCCTTTTTTTCCAGGGGGAGGCTGAGAAATCAGCCTAAGTATGGGGGCCAAGGATGATAAATCAGCGTGCCTAAAAACGAATCTTTGGGCCTAGTTTACAGCCATATGCAGGGAGCATATTTGGACTTAATATGGCAGAGGTTTTCTACCTACATGGGCTTCTCTATTTGTAAATCGAGCAGCCGAGCTTCTTATTCGCACATCGCCGAATCCCTCACTCTTTTACCTATAATATCCTGCTCTCCCTCTCTCTAAGTGATTCCTAAGTAGTAGCACTCAGTGACACTCCTACTCTACTCCCCATCCTCTACCCTCTTCGGCAGCAGCAGTCTCTGTAGCGCCCAGACCAGGGACTCCGTAAGCGCATGCCCCACCTCGCCCTCGATCCTATCCTGATACTCACACGTGTAATGCGGGTTATACATCCCACACGCATCCAAATACCTAGGCGCCGCCACATGCCATAGATCCACAAACATGATTCCTTCTCTCTCTGCAAGTGTCTTGGCCAGGCTGTTAGCGAAGACAAGTCCCTGGTTGGTGCGGCCGGCGCAGGCTACTCTGGAGGACCCAGTGGGGAAGGGGGGTGCTGATACGAAGAGAACTGAGCGGATGGGCCGGCCTTGGGCGGTGGCGATGCTGCTGTTAGTGCCTGTACTGCTGCCACTGCTGCTGCCGCTGCTGCTGTCCCTACTATCACTGCTGCCGTCACTACTGTTACTGCTACTCCCCTCCCCGCCACTCCCAGCCACCCCCCCACCACTCCAGCTGGTGTTTCTGACGGAGATGAGCCAGTCCAGGAACATGGGCAGGCTGCGCGCGTACGCCACCTCGGGCTCTGTGCAGAAGGCGAGGCTCCAGTGGGCGCTGTCCGCCACTAGCACGTCCGGGGTGGGGCTGATCGTGGGGAAGGAGTCGTCCCTGCCCGAGTACTGCCCGCGTTTGCTGGGATGGGCGAAACGGGAGCGGGTGGGGGAGGTGGGAGGGAGCAGGGTGAGAAGGTTGATTCTTGAGTCAATTCTTGAGTTCGCCCTGCCGAGTACTGGCCTCGGTTGCTGATAGGGTAAGGACGAGAGTTTAGGCAGAGAGAGTAGGAAGAGAAGAAGACTACGAGAAAGGCACAGGCGAGGGCGAAGAGAAAGGCATAGAGTAAGACAGAGAGAAAGGCAGAGAAATGAGCACTTACACACATCCGTCCAGCCCATTTCTGTACAGTCCATCGATCCAGTGATATCGAATCTCCATCCACCGATCCTCCCTGCCCCTCCCCTCCACCCCCGCCCCCCCACCCTTCCCCCCTTTCCCCTTCCTCCGCGCCGCAGCATCCAGCTCAGCGCTCCGTGCCACGTCATCATGATCCGCATCAACGACACTAAATTCCGAGTTATGGCATGCACGGATCAATCCAGAGGAGGAGATGAGAGAGCACATCTGCCCGTGCACGTTACTCTTCATTCTCAGTCCACTCTGACCCCCCAGACTCCCTCCCTCCCTCTTTTCCCCCCCCTTCCCAGGCACCCGCTCGTCCCGTAACAGCGAGTACGTGAGGTCGTAGAACAGATTCCGCATATGGGAATCCCCCACCAGGGCAAGCCGGGTCGAGATCTTGACGCCTGGAATCCCCGAATCCGCCTCCCCCCGCTCCTGTCTCTCCTCCTCCTCCCCCTTCCCCTCCTCTGTCCTACCCTCCGCATCGCCCGTCCCACTGCCCGCACCACCACCACCCCCCACACTGCCGTTTCTTGTCTTCTTGGCCGCTAGGGCGAGTTCGTCCTCCTCTAGGGCCGGTCCCAGGGCTACGAGCAGGTCTCTTAGGAGCTGCTTCTTGGACTCGCAGGCGAAGGGCCCCTTCTCCTCACACCGCTCCTCCCTCAACGCCCGACCATGATCAACCGCTCCTCCTTCAGTAGCAGCAGCAGCCGGTTCTGGAGCAGCCAAGAGTTTCCTGGACCCACCAGCAGCACCAGCAGCAGCAGCAGCGGATTTCCTCGCTCGTTGCTCTGTCACGCGGCGCATGTTCCTGCTGCCTATGAGCGCCACTGACATGGCCGCACACGTGTACGAGGTCCACCTGTGCAATGGGGAGAGGGGGAAGGGGGGGAAAGGGGGGGGGGTTGGGCGGGGGGGGGGAGGGGGGGGTGTGATTGGAGCCTACCATGGGTTGGAGGGGAAGTGCGCGGAGGGGGGGAAATAAGGCGCGTTGCATGTTCCTGCTGCCTATGAGTGCCACTGACATGGCAGCACACGTGTACGAGGTCTACCTGACCTGTGAAAGGAGATGTGTTTTTCTTGGGCGGGGAGAGAGGAGGGGGAGAGGGGTGGGGGGGGCGGTCCCGTGGGGTTTGAAGTTGGAACCTGGATCGGAGGAGATGGGGGAGGGATGGGGAGGGATGGGGAGGGATGGGGAGGGATGGGGGGGAAGAGGAAAGGGTCTTGGAAGGTGCCCTCGCACTCACTTGTACGATCCGTTGGGTCGTCTGAGCCACCGGGCGAACGTGCCCACAGAGCAGGGCGACGGAATCGCCGCCACCTCCAACCCCACGTCGCCCGCCCACTCCGCGCCCCCCCCTGCGCCAGCACCCTCTCCCGCGCCTCCCCCTGCGCCTCCGCCAGCGGAAGAGGCGGAATTTAGGCCGGTCGCGGAAACGGAGGCGGAGGAGGAGGATGCGCGGGTGGAGAGGCGGGAGGGGGGGTCGGGGGAGAGGACCTGCATGCGAAAGTAGCGGACCTCCCCTGGCCCCACTGGGGGGTAGTAGCGCGTGCCCACGGCGCTCTCGTGCGTGCAGTCCGCGCGGACCACGCCCCTGTTGGGGTGTTACAGGAAAGAACGGGAAGCAAACGAACTTGGCTTGCTGTAAATTGATTACTACACGTCAAAAAGGGGGCGCGATGCAGCACAAATTCCCGGCGTCGCCCATGTCCCAGTCTACTCTACCTGTATGCACCTATACTCGCCCTTCCACGCACCTGTAGTCGCCCACGTCCCAGATCAGCACCGACAGCTGCAGCAGCGGCCCGTTCGGCGTCGCCGTCTGCGAAACCAGCGAAGCGTGCTGCAGCGAAGGGCCGTATAGGGTTACCATCACGTCCGACAGAAGTATTTCCGTGTGCGGTAGCAGCAGCCGCTCCAGCTCCAGGATTTCGTCGTCAAACCGTGACCGTTTCGCCGATTTCGTCGATTTCGCAGCGAGTTTCGCAGCCCCCGCGCCACCTTCGCCGACGGCGGCCCTCTCCTTCCCCCCACCCGCGTGGTTCGTCCCGTTAAGAGCGTGCTTCGGTACAAGCAGCACGAAGGAGCAGGGGACGCCGGCGTAGCACACGTGTGCTCGCTGATTGTCCAGCTGATGCCAGTCGTACTTGTCTACTAACGCGTATTCCCTGTGGTAACCGGTTTCTTTGGCCGGGGCGGGCGGTTTGAAGGGGACAGGAGCGTGAGCGGCAGGGGGGCTTTCCGCGGTAGTAGACGGGGGGATTTCGGAGCGGAGGTGGGGGGAGGGAAGGGGCTGGGAGTCGGGAGGGGAGAGCGAAGGCGAATAACCACTGCCGTTGATTCCCCCGGCCTCCGTCTTCACTATAATCCCACCCGTTATAGCCACTCGAGCCTGGTCCCCAGTCTGCATGTACGGGGAGCAGCGACGCGCAACGGGGCCCGGGAAGGAAGGGGAATGAGGGGAACGGAAGGGAACGGAAGGGAACGGAAGGGAACGGAAGGGAACGGAAGGGAACGGAAGGGAACGGAAGGGAACAGCATGGGAACGGATCACGGACATGTCAGAAGCAAAAGGGAAAGGGTAATTGAGCCGAAAAGGGAATGCGAGTGGGAACGGACGGTGGCGAGAAAGAAAGGAGCGTGTTTCGGAGAGGCAAGGCGGGAGGGCGGATGACGAAAGCGGTGGATACAGCACCGTTGTTTAGAATTCTCTAAAAGATAAACACATCCGGGAAAAACACGTCCGGGCACAGTGAGCTAACGCAAATGCCGTGTACGCGTCAGTGAGTGTGCGCGTTTGCTGAACAGAGCGTGTGCGATGCGTGGAAGCCGGGGGTGCGTGGAATCGGGGGGTGTTTCGAATGCGAGCTCACCTGGAAAATGCCGAGCGTGACAATCGACGCCACTGTCAACGCGAGCGCCGCGATAAAGAGCCGTCTCGATAAGAGCGAAAAGACGGCCTCCACTGGACTACATCTCTCGAACGTTCCTTTCGACATGGTAGGCTTCGCATCCATTATATCGCTTCCTTGCTCTGGTGATGACGGCATGCCTTCTAATGATAGCGGGAGTGCTAATGGCGGGAAGATGTCTTTCATAGGCGAGCGTGACCGTCCCGCGAAGAAACAGCGGAATTCAAACGCATACATGTGCACGGACGGGTGACTCTGTAACGAAGGCGGTGGCAATAGCGAAGGGTCGACGGATTAGTAGGCTGGAGAGAAAAGGTTTCGACGACTCAGAGCAAGAGTAGCTCGGTGCAAGGAGGCTCCTAGACGCTGGTAGCTACTACCTAAATCCTCCTCCATTTTTTAGAATTCTCAAAATTATCTGAATCCTCTTCTCCATCGCGAATACTCTTTCCAGCGAACGCATGAGCAGGCAGCACGGGCGGGAATGACGCGAGCAGGTGAAAGCGGGGTGCTCTCAGGAATAAAATCGCGGCGCGACGACGGTGCTTCCGGTCCTGCTGTCTATCATGGGCCTCGTCGCCCCGGTGTCGCGGTTGTAGTAGTGTCAGGCTGCGACTAGTCCGACTAAGTTCGACATTTTCGTCTAGAGTCTCGTTTAGATTTATATCCGTTCGGGTAGATCTGAAGGTGAAGACTGACGGGCGGTCAGGATCACATCGAAGGTGGCGAGACGCGGGGCGGCGTTACACTGAGTCAGTCGCCAACAGCAGGAAACGAGTTTACGCGAGTCGAGGGAGGAAGGAGAAGGGGGCGGTGTTAGCGGGAACTCATACCTTCTACACTCGTCCCGTCCCCCACTGACGCATCTGGGGAAATCGAGGGAGGGGGGAAAATCGAGGGCTGGGGGAACATCGAGGGAGGAGGGGGGGAAATCGAGGGAGCGGGGAGATTTGAGGGAGGTGGGGGAATCGAGGGAGAGAAACGCGAGGAAGGCGGGATTCGTGTGTGTATTTCAATTCGAACTTCCCCTAATACAGCGCAGACAGTCAGCTCGGCTTGGGTTCTGGTGTACAGCCGAGCCAGAGAGGAACCGCGCTACGGAGACCGCGAGCCGCGTCGCTGCAGAGTGTGACAGAGGTTTGGTCTGGTAGTGTCCGAGCCAACCGAGGCAGACGGAGGCTTGCTGCTGTGATCAAACCGCGCCAACAGCTAAGGGCATGTCGGTTGTCGTCAGAAAGGCGTTGCGGTGGGAGAAATAGTTACAGCTGGTTGAGGAAGCAATACAAAAACCGAATTACATAACGTGATAATCAGGCCTTCATTTGTCATGCCAAAAAGGCCTTAAAAGTTGTATATCAGGGTGTTTTTTATGTCACATCCTGATTTTCCACTTTTGATTTCATCAAACCAGAAATTCAAGCGTTCCCATTTCTTAAGGCCTGAAAATGGTATGTTCTTGTTTTAGCAATCCTAACGAGTCAACCTTGATCGAAATTCGACCTGAAACAAAATCAAATCAAATTGGTCGATGCGAGCTGGAGCACGCGTTAGGGGCATGACTGGTCCTTTGCCAAATAACGCAGGTCCGAACCAAGCTGGAGCAGCTGTCAGGGGTAAAACTTGTCCGCCAAAATGGAGCATGTGACACGAGTTGGAGCAGATGTGAGGGGCGTGATTGGTCCTTGGCCAAAATCAGACAGGTAGTGTGAGACAATTTGTACACAGTGAAGTCCGATCCGATCTAACGATCAGAAACTTAAAAAAAAGTATAGGCCTGATTAGTTAACTAACCTACTCGTGATTCCATGTTAGAATGCAAGAATAATCACACATATAGCAGTTGGGGTTGTACTCACTAGGAACACACATCTACACTAGCCTATACCTTCTACATGCAACACATGTACAAGTAGACACACCCCCTAGGCTAGAGGAGGGGTGGTGCTAAGGAATAAGCGCACAGCTCAAGGCGGCACAACCAGTCTAGCCACTGAGACAGGGGTCCAGAGACCAGTCAACAAGAGTACAGACAAAGAGTACTCAAAAAGTACAAGGAGTATATAATCAAGGTCCTAGCAAGTAAGTAGCTACAGGAACAAGACCAAGCTGTACACAGTGCCGCTGATGATCTTTAGGCGCAAGCGCCTTAGTAAAGATATCAGCTGTGTTGGCACCGGAGGCCAAGTGAACTACACGGGCCTGGCAACGCTGCTGTAGCTCGCGCAGGAGGAAGTACCGCAGCTGGATATGCTTCGCTCTGCCCTCAAGTCAAGGCTCCTGACACAGGAGAATCATGGCCCTGTTGTCAGCGTACAGGACCGGGGCAGAGCTAGGCCGCTCACCTAAGTCAGTGAGCAAGAAGGTCAGCCAGCGGAGCTCCTGTGCTGCCATGGCACCAGCGTAGATCTCAGCCTCACAGCTAGAATGAGCCAAAGACAACGAGCGAGAAGACTGCCACGAGATAGCATCGGACCCAGGGCTAAAGCAGTAGCCCTGAGACGACCGGAGAGTCTCAGAGTCGTCTGCCCAGGAAGCGTCTGTGTGCACAGTAAGGACCACTGGTCTGCGTCCACCAAGCACTAACCCCATGCCCGATGTACTTGCGAGATATCGCAAAACCCTCTTAGCTGCCGACCAGTGCTGAGGTCGGTGTCTGCCTGTGGCCACAAAGCGAGCCAGGATGCTGAGTGGGTATGCGAGATCTGGACGAGTGCAAGTCATCAGGTACATGAGGCAACCCACGAGCTCTGTGTAGGGGCCGCTGGGCTCTACTGGCTCCTCAGAAACGGGGGCCGAGAGCCCATGGTCTAGAGGTAGAGGTGTGGGCTGTGCTGAGGAGAACTGAAGGCCAAACCTCTGAAGGACCTGACGCACCAATTGTGACTGAGTCAAAGTGATGGTGCGTGCTGCTCTGTCCCTGGAGATCTGCAGGCCAAGATAGCGACGTAGCTCTCCTAGATCAGTGCAGGTGTGTCTCTTCAGCAGCTCAGCCTTCACCGAGGCCAGTGCGTCCCTGTCAGCAGTAGCAAAGACCAGATCATCTACGTAAACGAGGATGTAGAACGGAGTCTGTCCGGAACGAATGGAAAGGGAAGGGTCAGCAGAGGACGGAAAGAACTGCAGGTCTGCTAGCGTGGCACGCAGCGTGTCGTGCCACTCGCGGGGAGCCTGGCGCAGGCCGTAGACCGGGCGCCTGAGAAGCCACTGGGTCCCAGAAGGGAAGGTACCAGTGAAGCCCTGTGGTCGACACAGGTAGACCTGCTCGTATAGGCTGCCTTGAAGAAAGGCAGTAGAAAAGTCAAGCAAGTGAAGCTCGTAGTCGCGCTGTGGTGCTACGTGTAGCAGCGCCCGAAGAGTAGTCATCTTCGGGGTTAGGGCGAAGGTCTGGAAGAAGTCCACCCCCTCACGCTGGCTGAAGCCTCTAGCCACGTAGCGCGCCTTGAAGACAGGCGGCTCTCCTGGGGGGCGCTTCACCTTGAAGAGCCACCGACCATCGACTACGTTCATCCCAGGCGGGGGAACTGCGTCGACGTAAGTGCCGGTGGACCTCCAAGATGCCATCTCCTGCTCCATGGCAGCTATCCACTGAGAGGCCCAAGGTCTCGAGGTGGCCTTAGCGTAAGTGCGAGGGGTCGGGATGTCGAAGGCGTCTGGGTCACCCTCTGGGACTAGGAGCATGGAGCAGAGATGGGGAGCGGCCTCTGAAAGGAAAGCAAGCTCGTACTGCCTGTCCTCTAGAACGTCACTGCCAAGGGCAGGTGCACCCCCGACGGACGGAGGACGGGCAGGGTCATAGACCAGAGCGGTAGCGTAGTCAAGGCGGCGGGTAGAGGCGAAGTCTGCGACAGTAGTGACAAGCGCGTCAAGGCAGGAGACAGGAATAGACGGGTCTGTAACAAGAGAAGCAAGAACCCGAGGGACAAGGGGACGAGCGGCACGGAAGTAGTCAGACAGCGGAGGAGGGGCAACAACAAGCGACGAGGGAGGAGGCGACAGGAGGAGGGGAGGACGAGACGAGTGGGAACGGGAGCGCAGGACAGGAGAGACGGGGCGAGCACGGGAGGGACAGCGAGACGAAACGTGGGAAGGAGGGGTAGGGTCAGGAGACAGCGGAGGGGACACAAGAGGGGAACGGGAAGGAAGACGTGCAAGAGACGAGTCCGGCGGCGGGAACACAGGGCCGTAGACAGGAAGGTGAGGAGGTGGCGGGGGAGACACCGGCGAGCGGTCAGGGGAGGGAAGGCTGAGCAGGCGAAGAGCGGAGACCGGCTGCGACGACGGCTGGTGCCCGACCCCCGGACCGGCAGAGGCACGACGACCGCCGGGAGAACACTCAACGGCAGCACCCCCAGAACCAACACCCCCAGAGCGAGAACTCCCTCCAGCACCAGCGGCACCCCCAGGCCCGCCGGGAAAGACGACGCCAGGAGCCGCAGGACGAGCACCCTCCTCGATGCCAGCACTCCCAGAGGCTAAGAGCGGCAGCGGCGGCGACGGTGGAGACAGTGGCGACGGTGGCGACGGCGGCGGTAGCGGCGGCGGCAGCAGTGGCTGCGACGGCTGAGGTCGAGACACCGGGGAAGGTGGACGCAACAAGGGAGGGCCGGGGGGACAACCAGAGTCAGAAGACTCCTCAACGGGGACAACCGACGGGAGAGGAGTGACGTGAAAGACGCCAGACAGGGCTGGACGAGGCGGGAGGGGAGCAGTGGCTACCAGGGGAGAGGGAGCAAGGAACAGGGGTGGGGAAACTGGGAGACCTCGGTGAGGGAAGCAACGGTAGAAGGAGACCGACTCGTCAAAGGTGACGTCACGAGAGTGGAGGAAGCGGTGAGACGGCGGGTGGTAGAAGAGCCAGTCAGACGAGTCCAGGGGGAAACCAAGGAAGACACAAGGGACAGTGCGGGCAGTAAGCTTGTCCGTGCCAGAGGCACGAACGTGAGCAACGCAACCCCAGACGTGGAAGGCTGACGCGTCACCGGGGGACTCGGTCCAAAGGAAAGTCGGCGAAACCTGCGGCCGCTGGGAGCGGGGCCACAAGTTAAGCTGGTGAGCAGCGTAGCGAACATCGAACGGCCACAGAAAATGGGGGCAATCGGCATGGATCATGGTGTTACGAGCCACCTCCATGACCAAGCCGATGCGGCGCTCAACAACCCCATTTTGCTGTGGCGACTCCGGCAAGGTGTACGACTGGGTGATGCCCTCCGCACGACAGAACTGTCCAAGCTGACCAGAGGCAAACTCGCCGCCACGGTCGGAGTGGAGACACAGCACGGGGAGACCGCGGTGGAGACACGCAGCCACAACCCACGGTAGAAGAACGTCAGGCACGTCGGCCTTCCGCTCCAGGGGAAACACCGTGGTGTAGCGCGTGTAGTCGTCGACGAGCACCAGAAAGTAGCGCTCACCGCGCGGTCTGGGGACGGGGGCCGGGCCCCAAACGTCCAGGTGCAGGGTCTGAAGGGGGGCAGTAGCAGGGCGAAGCGAGGAGGAGTGAGGAGCACGGCGGGAGCCGGCCCTCGACACAAGGCGTGCACGGTGGCGCAGTCGAGGGGGGAAGGGCAGGGAGCGACGCAGGGAGGCCTAAGACAAGACCGTGCTGAGACATTTGACGCAGACGCGGGAGAGCAGGGTGACCCAAGCGGTGGTGCCACATAAGGGACGGGTGAGTGAGGGACCGACACGAGCAAGCCGCAGCGACGTGGGAGGACGCACCAACCGGGGGGGAAGCGGTGTTGAGGT